CTTAGTGGAATCAGCGATATGGACCAGTCTTACATATTACACAATTGGGTTTGCTCCAGACACCAGCATGTAGTAGTGGCCTGCGTGTTCTTGGTTTCTCGTGATAGTTTTTCATGTTTATACTTTTGCTTACCAACTTAAATTCTTCATTAGAAATTTATTCTTCCTACTCTGCATTTAGTGGTCATTTGAACCTGATAATTTATTCACTGACAAATATCCACCATCTGATTCAGGTTTTTCAAGCAGTTATTGGCATTGTTCAGTATACATCAAATGTCTCTCTCTCTCTTCGCTTTGTTGCTGTGGGAAGAAAGCTGGTTGCTGCATGCACTTTAGGAACCTGTACATTGATAATGAATATTCTGCTTGGAGGATTTATAGTTGCCCAAAATAAGCTGCCTGATTTCTATTTTCACTTTTGAGCCTATCTTGAATTAGAATGAGCTTTTAATTTACCAATCTTTATACCACATTGTTGAATATTTCTCGACATTTAGCCAAGTAAGTTGTGGATTCTTTCATGTGATTGTTTATATATTCGTTGATCAAAGCACTACATCTACAACCATTCATTTCCTTTTGTGCCCGCAGATGACATTGAGCCATTTATGATATGGGGCTATTATATTTCTCCAATGATGTATGGACAAAATGCTTTAGTCATTATAATGAATTTCTTGACAAAAGATGGAGCGCCGTAAGTTCTCTTTTACTGTTTGCGTAGTATCTTTACATTCTCAAAATTCTGAACATTTTTCTTATTGCAGCCCAATCCAGACCCCCGAATTCATGCACCTACAGTTGCGAAAGTCCTTCTCAAGTCTAGAGGCTTCTTCACGGATGACTACATGTTTTGGGTTTGTGTTGGAGCACTCTTGGGGTTTTCTCTTCTCTTCAACATTTTATTTATTAAGTCAATGCTGCAATATTGCAGCATTGACTTAATAAATAAAATGTTGAAGAGAAGAGAAAAACCCAAGAGTGCTCCAACACAAACCCAAAACATGTAGTCATCGTTGCCCAAAGTAAGCTGCCTGATTTCTATTTTCACTTTTGAGCCTATCTTGAATTAGAATGAGCTTTTAATTTACCAATCTTTATACCACATTGTTGAATATTTCTTGACATTTAGCCAAGTAAGTTGTGGATTCTTTCATGTGATTGTTTATATATTCGATGATCAAAGCACTACATCTACAACCATTCATTTCCTTTTGTGCCCGCAGATGACATTGAGCCATTTATGATATGGGCCTATTATATTTCTCCAATGATGTATGGACAAAATGCTTTAGTCATTATAATGAATTTCTTGACAAAAGATGGAGCGTCGTAAGTTCTCTTTTACTGTTTGCGTAGTATCTTTACATTCTCAAAATTCTGAACATTTTTCTTATTGCAGCCCAATCCAGACCCCCGAATTCATGCACCTACAGTTGGGAAAGTCCTTCTCAAGTCTAGAGGCTTGTTCACGGATGACTACATGTTTTGGGTTTGTGTTGGAGCACTCTTGGGGTTTTCTCTTCTCTTCAACATTTTATTTATTGCGGCATTGACTTTTTTGAACCGTAAGCTATCTCATCTAGTCATTTGGTTCAGATATTTTTATTTGAAAATGGATTTCCTTCGTTGGAAGTAGATTTCCAGGCTTAACAACCCTATTTCTGGATGTTCTACATCAGCTCTTAGTGATTCAAAATCTATAACCTTGGATGAAGATGTTGGAAAGAAGAATAAGAAATCATCTGGACGAATGACCTCTGAAGGTTTGAGCCTTTACCTTTGTCTCTTTTGATCTTTACTTAATGATCTCGTCTTCTATTTCTCTTGCTGCCAATTAAGTTAAAACACGTAGGTCACTAGTTACTCCTTTATCACATTTCTTTTCCATTTTAAAGTTCATGGCAAGTTGAATTGCATTGTGTGTGTAATGATGTCAATGAAGTGGGGAAACCAGATATCCTAAGAGGAATTAAGAAAACAGCAATAGGAATAGGTTTTTCAAAAGGATATCTTGTTTTAAATCAGATCTAAGCAGCGCAAAAACAAAACCAGTTTTTGAATATAGAAGTAAAGACAAATTTTTGTGAGACTTTTGAGGATCAAAAAAAGCTAGCTTTCTCTTTTAGTTCTTTTTCTTGGGTTGTAACAAGCACATGACAAGACATTAATCGATCCCTGTTGTGTAAAAAATGATCTACTGATCTTAATTTTGAAATCTTCTAATTGATTTTATAGGTTTTGATATGACGGTGAGAAATGCTTCACGGGGTACTGACTCAAGTGTTGGTGTCACTGATCATGCACCTAGAAAAGGAATGCTTTTTCCCTTCCAACCCCTTTCACTTGCATTCAATCATATCAACTAAGATATCTAGTTTCAGGCATGTTACATGGACTCTTTAGAATAAATCAAATAAACAATGGTGTGAGATATGTACTTGACACTATATATATATATATATTGCTGTCTATAAATCAAATACCTCTTTAACACTATATTATATATGATACCATTTCATCTCACTTAATAGTTTAAAAATATAAAAATATAACCCTTATTTTGCCAAGTTGGCGAATACCAAACATCCATATCCGAGTCTATGTAACATATGTTCGAGGAGATGGTCTAACTCAAGTTCTTGTTTGAGCAAGTTGAACCTCTTTTGTCATGCATAGAGTGTCTCGGCTGCTAAGGGTGCCTTTCTTTTTGTCTTTTGCTTTGATGATCTGTTGTGGATGTTGTTTGCAGGATATTATGGAGTTCCCAGGTTTGGAAATGTTGTTTTGTGATGCTTCTACATAATACTATGGAAGAGATTGCTGTGCATTCTCTTTGGAAGTAGTCTGTGTTTGTTTGCTATGTTGTGTGTGAAAATCTGTGGTTGGTCAAGATTTCCGCTACTCTGCTATTGCACCTACTTGTTTATGGATTGTTATATGATCTCTTGGCTTTATCAATAGCCAAGAAAATAAAAAAAAGAGAGTGGAAAACATGTGTTATTTAATTTGACGCAGCGAGAACTTTGATGTGTACTACATATTTTCGAACATATATATTTATATGTTATCTACTTGTCTATCTATCTATCTATCTATCTATCTATCTATCTATCTATCTATCTATCTATCTATCTATCTATCAATCTTTATATATAAGAGAAATATTAGTTAATGCATCAAAAGTATTGGTAAGCATGTGAAGGCATAATGTGATGTTTTAATAGCCATTTGTGTTTTATGACAATTGTTACTGATAAAAATATCACTGATCTTTGCTCAATAATTCTTTCACCAACTTGCCAAGACATTTAGGCATACTAACTTAGTATAATGGTGAGACCATCCAAAAATAATATTTTCACAGGTTCCTTCTCACCTCTTTTGTTTTAAGACCAAATTTGTCAATGCATTTCATGCTGGTTATCATCGGATGAGATTGGTAGCACACCATCTATTCTTGCTGTTGCTTATATATCATTCTCATCTCTACGTTTAAAGAATTGGGCAAGCAAGTAAATATTATTGAACAAAATAGAATATTGAATAGGAACAACAAATGAGATTATTCTTGTTAAATTATGTTGTGTATGCTGCACTAGTTAAGTAACTTTTTTCATATATTTCTTGTATAGCTTGGGAGGCTTTGCTTGGACCAAACCAGTGGTACTACAAAATGGTACGTATTCTTTTCTCATATAATTTTTACCTCTTCAACCTCAATTCTAAATCTCTTATTTTTTTACTTAATAGTGCATTATTTCAAAATTAAACAAAGCCTTAATGTTTGGCAACCATTGGTATGTTGGTCAGTAACTTGAAAGGAAAAAAAAATCATCCTTGTGGTCAACTATTTTAATTGTGATTTATTTTCTTTTCCTTTGTGGGTGTTTTAATTATTTGTAGGGTGGGAATGCCTCTGGGGAAGAGAGTGATAACATTGATTGGGATACTGAAGATGAACTAGAAATTCAGAATTTTCCTTTGTCTTCCTGTTCAAGTTTGACAAATCCTGGTGGAGAAGCTAATCAAGATATTAGAAAATTAATGTAGAAGTTTTGTTGAAATTATATTTTTCTGCTTGTCTTATTGAATTTGTTATTTGACAGGTTTGCAATACATGTGTGTGATAAAAAATAAAAAATAAAAATTTAATTTTTTGGTTGTGTTTGTTGTTTGATTTTGGAATAATCATGCAATGTTTGCCTAAATTTAGTCAATATATTGAAATAGTCGCAAAGCTTTATCTATATTATTGCTATTTTTTAGCTTTATTACAGGTATATTTTTTAGTTAAATCTAACAGAATTAGCACAATTTCCGCCCAAAAAAAAAACAGAGGCTATAACGGCGTTTTTCCGAACGTCGCTATAGTGCCAACGGTCATTTTTTTAAAATAGGAAAAAATCTATTACGGCGTTTTTAAAACGTCGCTAAATATTAGAGGTGTCATTTTTCATTATTTATCACATTTAGCGGCGTTTTTCAAAACGCCGTCCATACTAATTTAATGACGTTTTCAAAGCGCCATAACGCTACAGCGATGGTGGCGTCTTCGACGTTTGGTATTAAACGTCACAAAAAGAAATAGGGGCATTTTTACACCTATAGCGGCGTTTTTTAAACACCACCAAAAATAAAATTTCCAGCAGTGTTTCCCTCTAAAGAATATGAAAAGATTTTTAAGGATGGTGCAAGTAACATGATCACTAAGAATAATAATGTAGTTAGGCACTTCTTTATGGCTCTATTTGGCAATCTCCAATTAAACAAATCTTTAGCTAAAACAAGTCAAAAGTAAAAAGTCGTTTTAGTTTCAGTAAAAAGCAACGTCTCCATGAAAAAGTAACTATTTTGGCGAATGCCAACAAAATTATTCAAAGACCATTTTACCCATCATACTTTGAGAAATTTGACTGTCCCTTAGGTAAAAGGAAAATTTTGAAAAAACTTGCTCCATAATGGAAAAAATATATATATTTTTTTAAAGTAATATCACCCTTTATGACGGAGAAACCCGCTTGTTCCTCCGCAACAGTGGTAACTGTTTCGTTACCACTTACAATTTACTTCATCTTAATATGAACTTGAATACTCAATTTTCAACACATTCTAATTGAGCACTTTTAGTTTTCGTTATGTAATTTTTCCTTTTGGATATTCTGTTTGTGTTAGGCATGTTGATTTCTCGACAGAGTAGTTTTAGTTACTCGTCATATAAGTGCTGGCCTCTTCTTACATGTGAAACTCAACAGGGTTGAGTGGCCTCTTCTAAAGCCAAATCTTCTGTCCTGTTTGGTTGCTGAGAAAGTGGGGGGAAAAAGTAAAGAAAATGAATTTTTTGAGTCCTACTGGATACTGTCATTTCTGGGTTTTGTTGTATATTATTTATGTAGTTGATGAATTCGTTGATTGTTGAAAGGTCTGACATGATTGTATTTTTATCAAAATTATATATACAATTTTGACTGATAGCAATTTTGTGGCTTTGTATACAAGGTAGTAATTAATTTTTTGGTTGAGAATTGTGAATACAATTTTTTGATATGTTATTTTGGGGGTAATATTAAAATATCATTTGTGGATATGTTATGTTGTGGGAAAGTGAATTAATGATGCATTTGATATTTGAATGTAAGTTATTATTTCATATTAGTGTTATTCATTTTTATTATATGTATTTTTTTAGTTTAATCACATAAATTAGCACAATTTAAAAAAAAAAAAAAAAGAGATATCACGGCGTTTTTTTAAAAACGCCGCTTAAAACCCAAAATATTAACGGTTAGATTTTTTTAAAAAGATATGACGGCGTTTAAAAAATGTCGCTAAATATCATAATGACGTCATGGTACTGTCAAGTAAGACATTTAGCGGCGTTTTTTAAAACGCCGTCTATACTAATATAACGGCGTTTTTAAAACGTCAGGAAGTTATAGCGACGGCCGCGTCTTCGGCGCTTGATGCTAAGCGTCGCAAAAAGAATTAGCGGCGTTTTTGACACTTATAGCGGCGTTTTTTAAACGCCGCTAAAAGCAGAATTTCCTGCAGTGGATTCTGTTTTTACGCACTATTTTTTTTCCCGCCTTAGTTCACACACTCCAAAATTTCCTCACCCAATTGTTTGGAAACTTAGTACCAAACCAAAATTCATGGTTCATACGTGAACTACCAAATGAAAACTCATTGTTCATATATAAACTATTGAACGAAAAGAAATGCAGCGTATACTAATGTCCTTATTAATCATTTTGCTTGATTGTATAATTATAGTAAAAAAATTATCCATTAAGTGTGAATTCAAAGATAAAAATAAAAACGTGTGAAACTATAATGACCTCTGTGGGTATTGATTTTTGACTTTACAATCAAACTAAATCTTCTAGCCAAAATTTAAGGAATTTAGCTGTAGAGCACACGAAAAAATAGAATACGTCCAACACCTGTAAACAAGAAGACAAGTAACACCAGTGGCTTATCCACCCAAGAGCACCCCGACGATCAAGTCAATCAACTTATCTCTCAAAGATAACAATTCAAGTAACAATGTAGAAGTAAAAAGCATATCTTAGACCTACGGGGGTGGCATACTTCTATAATCGACATCGTCCTCCTCTACGCCTTGAGGATAGCATCAATCTCCAACTACTCCAATCCATATTAGTATGGACTCTCTTAAGAGTCTCATCTCTATCCAAATAGAGAGTTTCAAACCATTTAGCACTCTTGTTCTCTATCCGAATATCTCGGATTCTAATATAGTCGCACCATATCTCGGCACTTTGGCTCATTCACGTGGCACCTTGACAACAATTTCGGCCAGGTGGATAACCCTAAAAATATGTCCCCACAACGTCAAACTTCTTTAGTTTTGTTTTTTAAAATATAAAATGATGAATGTACCCTTCTTAAGAATGTTCTAAAGCAAACTTACCAATGAAGTTCTCACAATTGTACAGGGCAAAATAGTAATAATGCATTACAACGCAATGGACTGGGCTTAAATCAGTAAGCCAAGCTAAAAAAAAAATAAAGAGTGTTACTATTAGCACTTACCAAAATTCTTTGGACCCCTCATTTTATAATTTTTTTTATTACAATTATACCCTAAGGTAAAATTACATTAAAAGACATTATTAAATAGAATACCCACCTATCAAATAAGAACAAATACTTTATAATATTGGACACCCACCCCCATCCCCACCCCCACCTCCAACTCCAACTCTAACTATACGTATTTCATGTTTGTAAACCCTAAACCTATTAATTTTCATAACCAACCAACATAAACCCTAAATCTATTATTTTTCATAATCATCTTAAATCCTGAATGTGTCATCTTCATCACCATCATCAACCCTATTGAACTTGAAAGTTTTGCTTCAAGTATAACATCTACTTCATCACTTATTTCACTGTGTAGAGCAATAGAGGACGAGGACAACAATTCTAGTGAGACTAGTGTTCCATGGGTAAGTTTATCTGTCTTGTATTAACATTATCGGTCATTTTCGGTCATTTTCAATCGTTCTTGTTTTGTTCGAGTTGTTCGGTACTGGTTTGCCGACTGTTAGGATTATGTTCGGTAACACGGTACTGAACATAATCCTTACATTTAATACATAGGTTCTGAACATTAATGTAGATAGTCGATACTGTTAAACCGAATATCATCTTTATTTTCAGCACTATTGAACTGAACAAAACCATTAGTTTCGAGACTGTTAAAATGAGCATCATTTTCTCAATTTTGAAATTACATTCACACATGTTTTTCAGGGTGATGCTTCGACTAGAGGCAATAAGGTTGATTCAGAACTTGTAATGGATTATAGTAATGGATTTGTTACTCATGAGGTGAGGCTTTGATTGTTTTACAAATAATGTACCTTTTTTATGTGCAATAATTGGTTAGTTTAATTTATTTATTTTAGATATTCAGGAGTTGAGATGAGTTAAATCGATGGGAACGTCAAGTTGGAAGAAGAAATGGATACGGTATTTTCATGCGTAAATTACATGGGGGTGGTATTCGTGGTAGGACGCCAAGACTTAGCTAATGGTTTGTGAGAACCCGAATATATAAATCAAGTAAATAATTAAATAATAATAATTTCACAATCCCAAATATTTTGATGGTAAATCCTAAAGTGCAAATTAATTATTATTGAATGATCTTTTAATTAATTTTAAACCTAAAATAAATTTATGGTGAAAGTCTTTAATTTAGAGGCAAGATTTATTATAAAAAATATATAGAGAGAGAGGAGGGTGTGACTTGAACTCTAGACCATAAGGTTAATAAATAAGACTCTTACCATTGGAGTTGCATATATACAACTTATATATATGTTTTGTATATTTATCTATTTATTTGACCGATGTGTGCCCACCACTAGTATAAAATAAAATAAACACAAACCCTACTCTATTATTTGTTCACCACAAAGGGCAACAACACAGCAGCCCCAGGAGAGTTTGAGAGACGGAAAAAAGAAGAAGAAGAAGTTGCAATCAAAGAACTTTTGGGTGTGTGGTAGGGTTCTAACATTATTCTTTATTTTATATTTGTTCTTTACACTTATTCTATTTTATGATTTAATTTACTGATGGGGAGGTTGTAGGTGTATGTAATTTGTGTATATATATACTGTTAAGAAATCTGAGGAGTTGAATTTGTGTGTAAAGGATGGGAGAAATTCTTAGTTTAAAAATTCTGTACGGAATCACAAACTTTAAAAATCAAGAAACCATATCAAACGAATGAATTTTGAACTAAATTTTTACAGTAGATTAATTACATACTGAGTTGCATATCTAAATTTTCACATAATTTTTGGGAGTCAAAAATCTATATTAACTGATGCATTCAAATCTGTCCAGAAAACTGGTTTTAAACAGTATGTTCGTGGGTGTTGTTCTCTTTCGGTATAAATCCAAAAATTATCAAATCAACGTCATTAGAACCGGATACGAGTCTAGTTTTGTAAGTTTTTGTCCTTGCATTGATTGCTCATATATACTAAGAGAACCATTAATTTCTTTAAAGTGCTGCAGAAAACAACCTGTTTAGATATAATTAATTGTACATAATTATTTTGACAAGCAAATCAAGTGAAACCATTTGTGTTTGAAACTTAGGATATATTAGTTGATATCTGGAGGGTTTTAGAATTTTTCGAACAACGTGGAGTGGGTTTTTAATTTTCAAAGTTAGCGAATAGTTTGGGAAAACTAGTTTAAAATTCTGTTTTATCTTAAAGTTACTTTTAATTGAGTTTCGATTTGAACCCATGTCTTTGGTGATTTTAGACCTTGAAGAACATGAACTTAGGTAATATTTAAGAGTAACAGTGAGTTGGGTTGAGCCGTGTTAGTGCGCTTTAGTTTAGGGTTACTTAGTTCTTATTCTTTATTATTTTTAAATTAGTAGTGACGTGTAGTTTTCATACTTGGTTTAGGGCACTAGTTGGACTTTAATACTCTATTCGAGGATTACATTATTTCGTTTTCAGGTGAGTAGTTTCATTCTACATATTTTTTTTATAAATGTTCCCCTACCCTGAACTATTGGAAAATTAAATTGTTGTTTCAGGACTAAACTGTTTTGATAAATTATTATATTATCAATAGAATCAAATTATTTCTGAAACATGTGTGAACTTGCCATACTGTGAACTATTTGTTTTGCTCTCATGTTTATAATGGTGAACTAACATGTTTTTCGAAACTGGTGTGTATTGATTATTGGGACCATCTGTATATTTTAGTCTAGGGAAATTATTTCACTGTGTGTGGTGACTCTGGCCACTAGGGAATAGATCCGAGTTGGGCCGTGATGACTCTAGTGCTCAACGATTGTAAGGAAAAGACCTAGGTTAAGCTAGGTGACCTTCAATTGGATCGTCTTAGAGAAACGCCCGGGTTGCCACCCCGAGGATGACTCTTTGTTCGGTATTGGATCCAACGAGTTTATAGCCTTGTGGACTATGTGGCGTGTTACTTGTTATTTTTTGGTACCCAAAAAATTGTTGGTGTTCATGTTGTAATCTGTTTTAAGTGAAAAATGTCATTTATCATGTTCTTGAAAGACATGAGTATTTTAATAACTGTTGAACTGCGGAACCTTCTTTTTGAAACATATTGTCTTTACCAAACTGTATGCCAATCTAGTTTCTATGATATATATATTATTTTGGAATTGAACCCTGTTTTCAAAACTGTATTTACTATCCATGTTGTTACTCACTAAGCTATTAACTGACTTAGTTGTTTATCGTTTCCAGGTGTTAGAAGGACTTTGAGTGGACTCATCGCATAGCGGGGACTCAATTGCATGGACCTCTAGGACATTCATTTAATTTGTTTTAGGTTATTATATATATATATATTTTTGGAAGTTGGCTGTGGTTGGTTTTACCATTTAGTTTTGTGACATATCAGTGGATTGAGTTTTGATTTATTTATTTCTGGGCTATCGTTACATTTATTCTTTGTGATTTTGGGTTCATGTTTAA